CCGACCCACCCACCAATCAATTAGCCGGTGGGGGGACTCACCAGGAACAGAAGAGAGGCCCGGGCTATGTTGCCGGTGATGTGGCCATGGCACGTCTTGGGTGTACCAGAAGTGATGCCATCACATTGCACCCAACGCTCCTCTAAGCCATAGAGTCTTGCAAGAAAAAAAAGTTCTACGTTGTGAGCTCCTGGCATTAAAGTTGCGAGCAAGCGATTTGGCTGCTGCATAAATTAGTTTGCTCCGGAGCCCTCCTTCCTGAGCTGAGACAAAAATGGGTGAGCCGGAGGCTAAACAGCTGTGAGCTGGAGGCTAAAAAGCTCACACTAACCCAGCCTTAGAGGGAACGCCGGTTGCACCGTCATTGAGGACACACTGATTTTAAGATCAGAACACTATGATAGAAACCAGAGCATCACACCCTCCCCCATGTCACCGATGCGCCGACGTCACTTCCGGGTCATGTAGGCACGTCACGTTTACTTCTGTCTTCTTGCCTGTTTGGGGCGGGGGTAATTGGGGGGGCAGAGAGCAGTGCCCCAAACCAGGGCCCCACCCATACTGAAGGGTCTGGCATCCCTACCTGAAGCCAAGCACACACCAACTTCGTCAGATCTCAGAAGCTAAGCAGGGTCGGCCCTGGTTAATATTTAGATGGGAGACCACCGAGGAATACCAGGGTCGTGACGCAGAGGCAGGCAATGGGAAACCTCTGTCAGGTTCCCAGTCAGCTCACTCTCCCCAAAGGCTTTCGTTAGAGAAAGTTTATTAAAGAGATTTGAGATGACTTCTTTGTCAGGACTGAAAAGCGAAAGCGGGGACCCAGTGTATAACTGAAACCCACACTCCATGCACATGTCACACACCCATTGATGTTGTTCAGTCGCACAGTCGAGTCCGACTCTTCGCGACCCCATGGACCAGCTCCCACCTGGCCCTCCTGTCTTCTGCTGTCCTCTGAGGTTGGCTCAATTTCATGTTCGTTGCATCTATGACACTGTCTAACCATCTCATCCTTTGCCGTCCCCGTCTTCTTTGACCTTCAATCTTTCCCAGCATCAGGGTCTTCTTCTCCAGTGAGTGCTCCCTTCTCATTAGGTGGCCAAAGTATTTGAGCTTCAGCTTCAGTCTCTGGCCTTCCAGGGAACAGTCAGGGTTGACTTCTTTTAGGATTGACTGATTTGATCTTCTTGCAGTCCAAGGGACTCTCAAGAGTCTTCTCCAGCACCATAGTTCAAAAGAATCTATTCTTCGCACGCCCATAAGTATAAGCAATCCTAAGAACCCAGATGGATACAGTGGTTCAACTAGCCATTCAAAAGTCTTATCCTCTTCAAGGACACTCTCATGCGAATGTTCCTGAGGTGCTGCTTGAGAAGAACATAAGAACATAAGAGACGCCAATGTTGGATCAGGCCAAAGGCCCATCCAGTCCAATACTCTGTGTCACACAGTGGCCAGAAACACCAGGGGCCATCAGGAGGTCCACCAGTGGGGCCAGGACATTAGAAGCCCTCCCACTGTTGACCCCCCCCCAAGCACCAAGAAGACAGAGCATCACTTGTCCCAGAGCCCCTATCTATACCTTGTGGCTAATAGCCACTGATGGACCTCTGCTCCATATGCTTCTCTAATTCCCTTTTGAAGCCGTCCATGCTCGTAGCTGCCACCACGTCCTGTGGCAGTGAACTCCATGTGTTAATCACTCTTTGAAGGTTACCAGCATTGCCTCCCTACACTACAGACATTCACACAGTCGCTCTTCCTCCCACAGTCTCTCTCCCTCCCACCAGGAATGTCAGTGAGGGTGAGCGATAAGCGGACGGCTGGATACATCTGCTTTAGCTTAGCCAAAAGCGAGGGGGAGGGGAACGGGGTTTGCAGATTACATCATTCAGGTGGGTTACATACTACAGGCGTTGAAGACACAGGTGAGAACACAGCAGGAGGCGAGCCCGAGTCTGACAACCACCTCTTTCTTCTCTTGCCCTGTCCTGGAAGGCCCAGGCTAACCTGATCTCATCAGGCCTTGGAAGCTGAGCAGGGTCGGCCCTGGTTAGTGCTTGGATGGGAGACCACCAAAGATATACCCCAGAGAGCACTATGGTCTGGGGCCCAACATCAATCGACTATTCCGGGCCCCAAGGATGCAAGGCTCACCAGTACCAGGACCAGAGCCTTTTCTGTGGCGGCTCCTTACTGGTGAAACGAGCTCCCGGAGGAGATCAGGGCCCTGCGGGACCTTTTACAGTTCCGCAGGGCCTGTAAGACGGAGCTCTTCCGCCAGGCCTTTCAATAGGAGCCGCCACTACTGTTACCACCAATGATCCTAGTGAATGCTTGGACCCTAGGCCTGGCCCAGATATATCGCTAGGCCCATCGGCGCGAGGGATGATGATTAGATGAATAACGCGGATTGAGATCTGGAAGCACGCCATCTAACCTTCAGTATTGTATGCACTTTACTGTTAATTGTTAATTTAGGCTTTGAATGAGTATGTTTTATGTGGTTTTATATAGTTTTAAGACTTTTATGGGTATGCCAATTAGGTGTATTGTACCGCTTTGTTAGCCGCTCTGAGCCTGCTCGCAGGGTTGGCGGGGTAATAAATAAATAAATAAATAAAGAAGTCCAGGGTCGCTACTCAGAGGCAAGCAATGTTTGTTCTTGCCTTGGAAACCTGACAAGGTCACTGCAAGTCGGCTTCCCACCACCACATAACTCCTCACTCGGTGGGCAGTGGACTTTGCATCTCCTCCGGGATCTTGCTGAGACATCGCAAGGTGAAACCCATTTCAGCCTTGCTGGCGCTCGTCCACTAAATCAGACTCTTTTAAAATAAATCCCTTTCCAAAGAGAGAGAGAAAGCAAATAAAGAAGAACAGGTATTGCTTTCCTGCAGGAGGTAGAAAGCGCCGATATATCTCAGCATCCGTGTTGTGCTCAGCTTGGAGGACGCGCCCGACATCCCTTCTGGGGGGGAGAAAAAGGCCCCACATAATTCATAAATCCTTCTCCTAGCCTAAAGGCATGATAGAAAAATGGCTGCTGAAGTTTGGAGAGGCCCGCCGACTTAGTTGATTTCATCAACTCTCCCCTCCAGAGTCGATCCTCCCCTGCGAAAAGGCAGTGTATTATATTAAAGTGGGTTTCGGGGGAGCGTGAAGATAATTCAAACAGGCCGAAAAATACCGGGTCCATAAAAGGACGGAGACAGGAAAGTAACTGCTCCGCAGAAAAATGGCACTACATCATGTTGTTCGAGCAATCTTCCAAGCGATTCCGGGTTTGTCAGCTGCAGGCCATAAAGCAAGTGAACAGTTTATGCCCGCGGAGAACGGGGTGGGTTTTACATGGGCCCGGCCTATTTAACAGCCCGTGTGCCAGGTCTGTGACAGACCCATTTGGAAAGGGGCTATCTTTCGTTTCAGATGTGTCACCTCCTCCCTAACCTCTTTCTTGTTTTAAAAAATGTATTTTTATAGATTGTTATAAGAGTTACACCTTGTAACTGATATATCACTGGATCTAATAGGAAACTGACTGGCCCTGTGTGGGGAATGTAATTCATAGACAACTAGGGTTGCCCGTCCCCCAACGAGGGCGGGGGGGTTGCCCGCTTTCGAGACCCCCAATCCGCCAGCCCCAATCTGGCTGGCAGGGGGATCCCCACTCCCAAAATACCCTGTTCATCCCAACATGCCCAGCGCAATGATGTCACCTGGAGGTGGACTCTTTACTGCCGGAGCTCCGCTCCTGTGTGCTCCCGCAGGAAATGACCCCTGGCTTCTAGTGTCCTGGCCCCACTGGTGGACCTCCTGATGGCCCCTGGCATTCTTGGCCACTGTGTGACACAGAATGTTGGACTGGATGGGCCACTGGCCTGACCCAGCATTGGCTTCTCTCTTATGTTCTTATGTAATGGAGTGATCAGCATTGGTGGCATGATGTCCCTTCTGGCGCAACCCAGAAGTGAAATCATCACATCAGGCAAAACGGTCTAGTCTAGGGTGGCCAGGTCCCTTCGTCGCTCCGGTAGAGGGATTGGGGGGGCATTCCATGGGTGGGCAGGGACACCCCCAAACCCTGCCCCCAAGCTGCGGCCACCCCTCTCCGTCCCCTCCTGCGAAGATCCAAAGGGGCCTCCGGCTGATTGGTGGGCCACGCGCTCCCAGTCGATCAGCTGAAGCCCTTTAGATCTCTGCAGGAGGGGAGGGAGAGAGGTGGCCATGAGTGGCTGCAGCTTGGGGGCAGGGCTTGGGGGCAGAGCTTCTCCCATCAGCCAACTGGCCGGCAGCAGATTGGAGGCCCCAAGAGCAGGGGCTACCCCACCCAGACCTGGGGGGCTGGCAACTGTAGCTTAGTCATCAAAGCATCCTTTCGATCCACATAGGCTAGTAATGTGTATTGTGTATCCAGAAAGTTGTTCGGTTGGATTCAGTGCCCCACGAGTGGCATGGACAGGAGTCTCCTGCCTCCCCCCTTCCACTACGGCTTGTTGAACTCTCCCCCGTTCTGCTTCTGGTGGTTGGCGAGGGTTTCCGTGTCCCCCTGGGGGAGACAGATCTCCCACTCCCAGCAGGCCCTACCTGCTAGTACTCCAGCGGCTGGCAAGAGAAAGGGGAAAAAATAAGCCATTCTCAGTGGCCCATTCTGCCTCTAGCATTCGCTCTGTTGTTTTATCAAACCCACACAGGAACAGAAAAAAGATGTGGCTCAAAACCACAATCAAGAAGAAGAAGAGGAGGAGGAGGAGGAGGAGGAGATTGGTGCTTGGGGGGGTCAACAGTGGGAGAGCTTCTAATGTCCTGGCCCCACTGGTGGACCTCCCGATGGCACTGGTATTTCTGGCCACTGTGTGATACAGAGTGTTAGACTGAATGGGCCTTTGGCCTGATCCAACATTGGCATCTCTTGTTCTTATGTTCTTATGGATTTGTAGCCTGCCCTTCACTCAGAGTCTCAGAGCGTCTTACAAACTCCTTTCCCTTCCCCTCCCCACAACAGACACCCTGTGAGGTAGGTGGGGCTGAGAGAGCTCTTTCCAGAACTGTCCTTGAGACGACAGCTCTTATCAGAACTGTGGCTTGCCCAAGGTGCAAGTGGAGGAGGAGTGGGGACTCAAACCCGGTTCTCCCAGATTAGAGTCCACGCTCTTAACCACTACACCAATACCCCGGGCCAACACCATACTGACTGCAAAGTCACCCATGAACGGCCATAAAATGGCCATAAATCTATGCAGACGGCTACCATAAAACCGAGAAATCAAACGAAGTGAAAGTGGCACCCAACGCAGAGGGGAACTTCTGTTCCAACGTGGGTTTGGTAAGACAGCGGAGCAAATGCTAGATGCAGGATGGGCCAATGGTGTGATGTCACTTCCAGGTTTTCCCTGGAATGGACGCCATGCCTTTCTAATAATTGCCAGAAACTCTATGGTAAAGCCCAGGGGAACCCAGAAGTGACATCAGTCCTCTCTAGGAATCTCTGCAAACTCTATGGTTTTACCATAGATTTGCTGGCAGTTCCTAGAGAGACATGACCTGGGCAACCCTTCGGTCAGCAGACCCCGTTGATTAGAGTGAGGGATGGAATTATGTCTGAAGTGGGAATGAAGGATCTGCAAATATGGCCCTCTCCTCCCGACACTACACCAGTACAAAAGGACTTTTGGATCCGTCCAACCCATGGTTCGTGTGAAAGCCTTCTGTTATTTTTACTGGCTCAGTAATCTCCTGCACATGCCATTGGCCTGATCCAACATCGGCTTCTCTTATGTTCTCATGTTCATGTAAGGATCTAGTGTGAAATGGGTGGGGCAGAATCACATATAATGGAGTTGCCAACAGTGTTCCCTCTAAGCTGAGTTAGTGTGAGCTAGTTCACAGTTTTTTAGCCTCCGGCTCACAGATTTTTGCCTTCACTCAGGAACGAAGGCTCCAGAACTAACTAATTTATGCAGTAGCCAAAGCACTTGCTCACAACCAGTGTTCCCTCTAAGCTGAGTTAGTGTGAGCTAGTTCACAGTTTTTTAGCCTCCGGCTCACAGATTTTTGCCTTCACTCAGGAAACGAAGGCTCCAGAACTAACTAATTTATGCAGTAGCCAAAGCACTTGCTCACAACCAGTGTTCCCTCTAAGCTGAGTTAGTGTGAGCTAGTTCACAGTTTTTTAGCCTCCGGCTCACAGATTTTTGCCTTCACTCAGGAAACGAAGGCTCCAGAACTAACTAATTTATGCAGTAGCCAAATCGCTCGCTCACAACTTCAATGCCAATAGCTGACAAAGTAGAATCTTTGCTCCACAGCTACCCCACAGCTTAGAGAGAGCATTGGCTGCCACTATCACACATAACAAGAAAGGGTCATATTTCCCCCCCCAGCCTTCGTATAGTAACTGAAGGGCCTACTGGAAATTGATTGAGGGCACCTGATGCTTTGTCTGCAGCATATAAAGTTATTTCGAAACCTCTACCTGTTGAAGAATAGAATTAGGAGACCCTGGCGGGGGTGTTATTTCTCTCTCTATGGCAAAGATCCCCCTTGAGCATATTTGAACTGAACTTCCCCGGAGCCAACTTCCTTGGAAGACATTCCAGCAGGGAGATGCAGATTTCCTGGGAAACCCGCAGAGCATATGGGCTTTAATGCCGCCAACTTGCAAATGTGCCATTACCAATAATATTTTATGATGGCTAATTATAATTAATAGATGTGGACTGTTTCAGAATCGCAGGGAAGCAACTGAAAAGTCCTAGGCTGTTTCGGAACTGGTGTGAGCTTCTTCTTTTTTTGCCAACCCTGAAATAGAACAGGACCAAGTGACCAAAAGAGTACAAAAAAGTGCTCTTATCTTTCCCTTATATAACTGTTATTTCCAGAGTTGGCCGCTGTCTGAGAGATTTACAAGAACTCATGGGGCACTCAATGAAATCGACGAGCAGTAGGCTTAGAACAGATAAAAAGGAAGTCCTTCTTCACCCAAAGAGTGATGAACACATGGAATTCACTGCCACAGAAGGTGGTGGCAGCTACAAGCATAGACAGCTTGTGGAAGATGGAATTTTTTTAATGAATTAGAAGTGGGCACCACTTCAAATGGGTTATTTTTGTGAGTACTGTGTGCGTGCATGTGTTTGCGCACCTGGAAGTCATGATGTCTTCTGGCAACCCCTGTATTTCAGAGAGGTGGTTTGCTATTGCCTGCCTCTGCATCCCGGCCCTGGTATTACTTGGAGGTGTCCCTTCCGATTACTTGCCAGGGCCGGCCCTGCTTAGCTTCCGTGATCTGACGAGATCGGACTTGCCTGGGCTATCCAGGTCAAAACACCCCTTCAAGATGTCTGACGGATACTAACTAATTTACTTTATGTATTATGTGGCTTTCACCCCAGTGGAGCCAGTCAAGGCCATCCAGTTAATTAGCATCTGCTGTGATTGGAAAACTAGGGAGGTGACTCCATAACTTACACCAGTCTCCTCTTCTCCTCTCCTCACAACAACCCTGAGAGGTAGGTTAGGCTGAAGTTAGGTGTGGCTGGCCCGAGGTCACCCAGCAAGCTTCCATGGTTCAAGTGATGATTCAAACCTGGATTTCCCAGATCCTAGTTGGGCACTTTAACCACTACACACACACATACACACCTCCTCCACTATGTTCAGGGTGGCATACAAGGTTCTCAGTCTGGTGTGGTGGTTAAGTGCGCGGACTCTAATCTGGGAGAACCGGGTTTGGTTCCTCACTCCTCCACTTGCAGCTGCTGGATGACCTTGGGCAAGCTATAGCTCAGCCCCACCTACCTCACAGGGTGTCTGTTGTGGGGAGGGGAAGGGAAAGGAGTTTGTAAGCCGCTCTGAGACTCCGAGTGAAGGGCGGGGTATAAATCCAATCTCTTCTTCTTCTGTTTTGTGAGAGGGAAAGAAAGTTCGCTTTGTCAACTCTTTCCACCCCAGGCATAATTTTATAAACCTCTATCAAGTCCCCCATTAGTTGTCTCTTTTCTAAACTGAAAAGTCCCAGGCTTTCCTTCTAGGGAAGCTGCTCCAACCTCCTAATCATCTTGGTCGCCCTCCTCCTTTTACCAGCTCTGCAATGTCCTTTTTGACATACAGTGACCAGAATTGTACACAATATTCCAAAGGAGGATCAGGGGAAGGCCTCGGCCTCTGTGCCTTGTTGTTGGCCACTGCTGTTGGCTTCTGTTGTTCTTGGCCTTGTTGTTGGCCATTGTTGGCCCCTGTGTGAGACAGAATGCTGGACTAGATGGACCCTCCCTGGTCTGATTAGGATTGTCAGGCCTTACCTGGCTGCTGGCCGGTGGGGGGAGAGCCCCGTTCTGCCCAATGTGCCCAGTGTGATAGTGTCACTTCACCAGGGATGTTGGGCAGGCTGGAGTTTTTCGGGGATGGGGCTCCACCCACCAGCTAGCTGGCCAGTGGTTGATTGGGGCCCCCGAAACCAGAGGAATCCCCACCCCCATCGGGGGAGTGGCAACCCTAGGTCTGATCTAGCAGGGTTCTTCCTGTGTTCTAATGAAGGCCTTGGCCTCTCTGCCCGCACCTTAGATCTGTACAAGGCCACGACGATATCGGCCGTTTTATTCTCATTCTCTTTCCTAACAATCCGTAACCTAGAGTTTGCCTTTTTCACTGCTGCAGCACATGGGGTTGACACTTTCGTTGAGCTCTCCACTATGACCCCAAGATCTTTTCCCCTCTCAGCCTCAGCAAGTTCAGTCCCCATTAGCCTATACCGGAAGTTGGTTGTTGTTATTATTTTTTGCGGTGGATATTTAAACCAGGGCATGGAAATAACCCTTGCTGTATGCAAGTGGCGTTCTCGGGGGGAGAAATAATTTGGCTCCTTCAGTCTTCCAAATGTAAATCAGATTCCAGAAGAGCGCACTGGGGGTTGATTCTCTCCAAGACGTTCCGACGTCTCCAGGACGTTCCGACGTCAGTGCGCCGACACGTGGCCCAGGCAGGCGGAGATGTCAGCCGCCCTTCCCTGGCCCACAATCCGTCAACTGTCATTTAGCAAAGCAAATCTCATGCTGTTCCCCCCCCTCCCTGTCGCTTTCAGGAAATGTCCCAGGAGTAACAGAATCCACCGGCAGAAGCAAAACACAGGTCACTACAGTTCAGACAACACAACCAGAGCATCAACCCGATTAATTTAAAAAGAGCGCATGTTTCCACAATGGCAAAAGTAGACTGCAGAGAGCTTGGACTGACAAAGAAAAGAAAAAGAAAAACGCAGTATTATAGACAAAAGAACTACACATGTTGCCTTGCATTTGTGGTAATCGACACCAATGAGAGAAAAAAAAAACATGTACTACAGCTATATTTGATTATGTATGGATATATTTGAAATAGTAAACATTGTCTTGATGTTTTTTCTGTAATGTAAATAAACTATTTATATCACACAATATAGTTTTTTCTTTTTCATGTATTTGTTATATATAATAAATACTCAGTGATGAGAAAAAAAAATTTTGCTTTCTTAAATGTGTTCTACCTTCCAGCTGTGTACTTTTAATAGAATTTTTATTGTCTTAATATATTTAAGAACAACAGTGCATGCAGTCAAACAACAACCATATTATTAGCATACAACACTTCCATGTAACAACTGAGGTTCCCAGCTGTGTACTTTTAATAGAATTTTTATTGTCTTAATATATTTAAGAACAACAGTGCATGCAGTCAAACAACAACCATATTATTAGCATACAACACTTCCATGTAACAACTGAGGTTCCACAAAAACCGAAAATGCATTAGCCTTATTAAGAATACATGTTGTTTCACATATAATTAAGTTTGTCCTAGAGCAGGGGTGTCGATCTCATTTGTTATGAGGGCCGGATCTGACATAAATGGGACTTTGTTGGGCCAGGCCATGTGTGCCGTAAAATGTAATGCCAGGTACCAGAGTAGGGTTGCCAAGTCCCCCTGGGGGGCGGAGAAACCCCCGCACGAGAGGCCCATTCGCCGCTGGTGGGGATTGGGCCGCCAGCGGGGACCCCACCCCCAAAGCATGTGACGTGCCCGGCATGAACACATCACCCGGAGGTGACGCAATCACGTCGGGCACGTTGCAAGGGGACGCTCTATCATCTGAGGGGAATTACTCTCCCAATAAATTGGCAGCTCCTGTACCTGAGGAGACAGTCCATAACAGCGGGAACCTGTCCCGAAGCCAGTTGGAATATACCAGAATCAGTGGGATAAATTGTTGGATGGGTTTTGGGGGTAAGTTTATAACATACCCGGGTCTCTCTTTTCAAACTCAGAAAATCATTTTAAAATATATCTTTATAAAAAGATGTGACTTAATGTGCAGCACCTGACAGATGGTGACCTGATGAAACTGAGGGAAACGAGCGCCAACCGAGGTCCGTCGTCGCGGGACTGTATATTATTGTGTTGCTTTAACGTGTTGCCTTAATAGGAATGTATTATTGTCCACAAACGTAAGCCTTGTATAAACTATTCTATTGGGAGAGTAATGTTTACTCCAGAGTAAATATATATATACGGTGTAACAGTCTATGAGCTGTTTTTGTTTTGCCTACAACCTCCAGGCGGTGGCTGGAGATCTCCTGGGATTGCAACTGACTTCCAGGGGACAAAGATCAGTTCCCCTGGAGAAAATGCCTGTTTTGGAGGGTGGATTCTCTGGCATTATACCCGATTGAGGCCCCTCCCCTCCCCAACCCCGCCCTCCCCAGGCTCCACCCACCCAAATCTCCAGATATTTCCCAGCTCTGAGTTAGCAAACAGGTAGGTGCTTTTCACCCAGGCACGGGGAAAAGATAGCTATCTGTACTATTAAAAAGTAATCACAGAATTTACACTAGATTATTTGAAGCCCCATCTGCAAATGTAATTATAACCCTGTCTTTGGTAGGACAGTCTACATCTATGGTTGCCAACCCCCAGCTGGGGCCTAGCCGCCCTGAGCCGGCCTCAGCTGGGAGGGCGGGTTATAAATCTGATAAATAAATATTTCTATTTTTTCTATTTATTTATATATTCACACACACAAAACCTTTATTGGCACTGAAAGCACGAGACATCATGGAAAAACAGCAAAATACTAAGATGCATCAGTCACTTAAAAAGGTAAAGGTTCCCTTGCTCGAAAGCTAGTTGAGTCCGAATCCCAGAGCCAGGAGGCAACATCAGGGGAAGGCCTCGGCCTCTGTGCCTTGTTGTTGGCCACTGCTGTTGGCTTCTGTGCTTTGTTGGCCTCTGTTGTTATTGACCATTGTTGGCTCCTGTGTGAGACAGAATCCTGTACTAGATGGACCCTCACTGGTCTGGTTAGGGTTGTCAGATCTTACCTGGCTGCTGGCCGGTGGGAGGGGAGCCCCGTTCTGCCCAGTGTGCCCAGTGTGATGGTGTCACTTCACCAGGGACGTCGGGCAGGCTGGAGTTTTTCAGTGATGGGGCTCCACTCACCAGCTAGCTGGCCAGTGGTTGATTGGGGCCCCCGAAACCAGAGGAATCCCCACCCCCATCGGGGGAGTGGCAACCCTAGGTCTGATCTAGCAGGGTTCTTCCTGTGTTCTAATGAAGGCCTTGGCCTCTCTGCCCTGTTGTTGGCCCTCCAGAGGAACTGGCTGGGCATTATGTGAGACAGGATGCCAGACTAGATGGACCACTGGTCTGATCCAGCAGGGGTCTCCTTATGTTCTTAAGAAGGCTTCAGTCTCCATGTCCTGTTATTGGCCCCCCAGAGGAACTGGTTGGCCACTGTGTGAGACAGGATGTTGGGCTAGATGGAACACTGGTCTGATCCAGCTGGTTAATGAAGGCCTCGGCCTCTCTGCCCTGTTATTGGCCTCCCAGAGGAACTGGTTGGCCCCTGTGTGAGACAGGATGCTGGACTAGATGGGCCACTGGTCTGATCCAGCAGGGCTCTTCTCATGTTCTTAGGAAGGCCTTGGCCTCTCTGCCCTGTTATTGGCCCCCCAGAGGAACTGGTTGGCCACTGTGTAAGACAGGATGCTGGACTAGATGGACCACTGGTCAGATCCAACAGGGCTCTTCTTATGTTCTTAGGAAGGCCTCAGGCTCTGTGCCCTGTTGTCGGCCCTCCAGAGGAACTGCTTGGCCCCTGTGTGAGACACGATGCTGGACTAGATGGACCACTGGTCTGATTCCAGCAGGGCTCTTTCGATGTTCTTGTGTTCGTATGTCCTGATTTCGTAGGTTTTGTGCTAGGAGGCAACATCAGGGGAAGACCCTGTGTGAAAGAGGAGGCTAGACTGGATGGATCGCTCCTCAGATGCAACAGGGATCCTCTTATGGTCTCCTGGAAACACCCAATAGGCTAGTTTGGTCTTTTCTATCAAGAACATCCTAGCTAGATTAGTCCCGCTCTGACTTTTTAAAGGGCAAGATAAAAGAAAGTTACAAGACAGCTGTAGAAAAATGGACAGATACAACCTAAATGAGGGAGTCCTCAGAAGGACCGTTTGCCATGAAGCAGCAGCGGCCAAGAGCCGCTTAATGGCTGCCAAAGGGAAGCAGATTTGACTTTCTCCAAGTAACAATACCTGGCGGTGAATGAGCTGTGTGTAGTGGCTCACTACAAAGACAATTCCTACCTCACCGCCACAAATATTTCTGTGCGGTAGTGGCACAATTGCCAATGGTTTAGGGTCAGCTGTTAACTGGGAACAAATCCCCAAGAAGATAATGAAGTGAATCAGACTCCGGCAGCTCTCAACTAAGTGATTTCAACTTTATTTAACAAGAACGATCCAACACGAAAAACCATAGGAGCCAGAGCTCCTTTTAAACATCCCGGGCTGGGGAAACCACACCCAGTAGAACAGTAAGAACCACTCATATTTACAGGATAAAGACCAATAGAATACTTTCCCTCCAAGTCCTCTGCTGTGCTGCGATTGGCCTGCTGTCAGGAGCAGCCAATGAGAAGTGGCAGATCAGGATACTGAGCTTCTATGAAGCAAGGACTGAAGCTTGGCATATAGTTCATAGTCCAGTACGCAACAGATAACATCAATATTGAGCAGTTTGAAACAGGCATAATATGTAAACCAGTACCTGGGTGTACCTGAAAACAATAATCTTTAGTATTTTCCATAACTTCCAAACACCGATCAGTACCACAACTTTACCGTCATTCTATGTGAGCGATAGTGGGTGTAAGTCAAGTAAAACAAGTTCAGTGCTGTGAGAACAAACCTGTAATAAATGGTTATGGTGACCAAGGCCCATAAAGCTGTGGGAGGGGCTGTGGCTCGGTGGTAGAGCATGGGCTTTCCTTGCAGAAGGTCCTGGGTTCGATCTCTGGTTTCTCCAGCTAAAAAAGGTAGTAGGCAACATGAAGCTCCTCTGCGTGAGAGCCTGGAAAGCCACTGTCAGAGTAGACAGTACTGATTTTGATTGACCGATGGGTTGACTCACCTAAGGAAGCTTCATGTGTTGGCATATGTGTTCATTCAGTCCCAAACATCATGGGCATCTCTCCACATAGTTACCTGCTTGGTGAATGAATGAATTTTATTGTTACGGCGCTTAGCCAGCAATGTTACCTGCTGGGTGAGTAAGCGACTATGTCGTTCAGGCTGATTATATCCCCATACCAAGATGGTGGTGGTGGTGGTGGTGATGGTGGTGACGACGACGACAATAATGGTGGTGGTGGTGGTGGTGGTGGTGACGACGACGGCAATGATAATAATGGTGGTGGTGGTGACGACGACAATGATAATGGTGGTGGTGGTGGTGACGATGATAATGGTGGTGGTGACGGTGACGGCAATGATACTGGTGGTGGTGGTGACGACGACAATGATAATGGTGGTGGTGGTGGTGACGACAATGATAGTGGTGGTGGTGGTGGTGATGACGACAATGATAATGGTGGTGGTGGTGGTGGTGGTGACGACGACAGCAATGATAATAATGATGGTGGTGGTGTGACGACAACAACAATGATAGTGGTGGTGGTGGTGGTGGTGACGACAACGACAATGATAATAATGGTGGTGGTGACGACGACAATGATAATGGTGGTGGTGGTGGTGGTGACGACAACGACAATGATAATGGTGGTGGTGATGTTGACGACGACGATGATTTATAAACTGCCCTCTCCTGAAGGGCTCAGGGCAGTATACAACATTATTAAAACATACAGAATTTAAATATAAGACAAATAATTATTAATTACAGATAAAACAATAGACATCAATAAGATAACTGATGGTGTTTACTATATTTCTCTCATAGGGGGTATCATAGGGCGGACATGGTCAAGGACGTTGCTGTCCTCAGTCATAGGCCTGGTCGAACATCTCCATCTTACACACCCTGCGGAACTGAGTTAAGTCCTGCAGGGCACAGATGTCACCAGGTAGAGAATTCCATCATGCCAGCACCAGGGCCA